ACTACTACTACTACTACTTTTTCTACTGCTACTACTTCTACTACTTCTACTACTACTACTACAACTACTACTACAACTACTACTACTACTACTACTACTACCACTACTACCACTACTACCACTACTACAACTACTACTACTACTACTACTACTACTACGACCACCACCACCACCGCCACCACCACCACCACCACCACCGCTACTACCTACGACGATCACGACCACGACCACGACCACGACCACGACCACGACCACGACCACGACCACGACCACGACCACGACCACGACCACGACCACGACCACGACTATGACGACGACACACACGAGGACGACCCGTACCGCACACATGCAAACGCAAAAACTGCAAACACTGACACTTTCACTAACCACTGCCATCACCACCACTGGTAAGAAGTGTCTGTCGTTGTTGCTCTCGCGTTTGTTGTCCGTAGTTGGAATACGGAGCCACGAGATGGCATTTCGAGGCAGCGACCAATTGTTGACTTTGAAGTCGTTCTGGTTAGCCATGATGACGATGCAGCGGTTCTGCCAAAAAGCGGAGCGCGCCACTGCTCTATGCACAATCCCAACCTACCAAGATCTCACTCTCCTAGAACACAATCCTGAAGCCTCCAGACATCCAACGATGCCCAGGATATCCATGGCATCAAGCATAAGAAAGCCATGAACCCTATAACAACCCTACTTTAAGACAACACATATACCATTCTGTCCCAAAAAAACACTCCGAACCTGCTCGTCAGGTTCGGAGCAGACAAGGGTCGCTGCTAGTTGGACCTGCAGCGCAGCCGATGGAAAGCAAGGCCGCTTTGGGTGTCAAAAGAGGTTATAAGGAACGGCGATAGATTGAAGGGAAAAGGCTTTAGCTTCAGACTTGTTTGCAGGGAAAGCTTCCCCCTGAAGCAACTTCGACAGAGTCGTGCCCGGCAGAATAAGAATTGTTCCAACAGAAGGTCCCCTAACATGATCAAGCTTTGGGCTCGCTGGCGCAGTTACAGGCTTTGATGTCTGCTCCGGGTCAAGGCCTGAACACTGACAAGAAGCCCGCGAATTAGGACAACCAAGAACTTCACTATGAATCGTGCGACTTGGCCGTACGCACACTACGCGGAGCTCTCGCACCTATGCCACACATCATCACAGCATTCTGAACCGAGAACAGCTCAAACCTGAACTTCAGCTTCCAGCTCGGAGGCGCGCCTGCATGGCCGAGGACCGGGGCGGTCTCGGAGGGACCGGCATCCCACAGTAACCTTCCAGACTTTAAGCACTGTGGCTTAAGACATCTGTTTCTGTAAAAGGGTGTTGTCTAGCGTTCTCTTGCAGTTTTGGTGCTGCAGCCTCACTCACACGAGAGCAACTACTGGCCGTGACGACGCAGTCAGAACAACTAGCCTCAACCAAAGCTCAGACATTCGCTCAAATCCTAAAGCCCTACAGACCCCAACCTCTAAACCCAAATACCCTACAGGCCCCACAGCAAGCCCCTAAGCTCCCGCCAAACCGTCCTCCCTCTGAAAGCTGAGAAGCCAGTTTGCTCCGTCTCCTCAGGCCTGATGGGTGCTCCAATGAGAACACACACACACTCATTGGCACACCCTGGGGCTTCAGCTAGCTTCTGGCTTTGGACTTAGTTAGGTGGGGTTCAGGGTTTTCGGCGGGGTTTGGCGTCTTTTTCCTGCACGATTTCGCGTATTCGTGTTGAGCATCTCATTACGGAGCATGGGAGCTTACTGAGGACATTGACCTGGAAATCCAACTTTCAGATGCACAGACCGCCGCAAACCTGCGACTTCGACTCTGACAATAGCTTGCTTTGCCTGTAGACTCGCTCAGTTCAACGTCTTCCACAGCCCTTGCCACAAACTTCTTGTGGTACCATCGTACTACCCTGCGGCAACCCCAACGCAAACGCCAAGCTAATGGGGCCAAGTCGCGTCCACTCCACGATGCACACACCAGGCAAGGAAGCCGCGTCGAAATCATCGATGAAAGCCCGATGTATCTTGCCAAAGGAGCAAGGTTTGGGGATTGGGTTTCAGCTCGAGGTGTTGTACTTCGTGGTTGAACTTCTCGTCAGCAGCAAGTTGGAGTGAGAAGAGCCGATCTGCTCAGACATCCTTGGCCGGCTTGGCATCCCCTGGCCATCAATCTGCCGCCGCTCCCTGCGACATCCAAAGTTCAACGCCCCAAACCGCGGAAATCACAGAAAAATTCGGCACCTTGAAAAGTTGAAACAAAAGCCATTGAAAAAAAAGCAAGCCCTGAGTCGTGCCAGCGTCTGCAGGGAGTACGGGATCAGGGGCAACTTGATTCGCACGCTGGTCAGGAGGGCCTGGCTCTGTGACTTCATAACTTTGGAGGATAAGGGAACTTAGGAAGTAAGGCAAGTTGTAATTACTGAAATTAAACTGGTGGTTTTGTGATTAACGTAGTTGTAAGACAACTCGCTTACTTAAGTCGCCTGATCATCCGAGCGGGCTTCCGAGTGTAGCACCTGGTTTGGGGAAAACGCGCTTATGGCGTACGAAGAAGTGCGAGTTGATCCTGGCTTCACTCTCACTTTTGGTTATCATTAGAAACATCATCGTCATCATCATCAGCAGCAGCAGCCCAGAAAAGGGCCATCGTCATCGTCGTCGGCATCATTGCCGTTGTCACCATGATCGTCGTCACCATCAGAAAGTCCGCTGTGAATTCTCGCCATCATCATCGCTAGCACCAGGAACAGCATCGGAAGCACATCACTGCCATCGTCATCATTATCACTCTCAATCAGCGATACCGCCAACATCATCAGTCACCCAGTCATAGTGCTCATCATGATCACCACCGTCATCATCGCCATCATCGTCATCATAATAATCGTCAGCAGCGGCAGCAATGGCACCTTCAGCACCATCAGCAAGGTCAACACCGCGTTCAGTGTGACCACGAGCATGCAAATCTCAATGGCATTGTCAAACCATGCTCGTCATCAATATCAACATCATATGTACTTGCCACCAGCACAATCATGCTGACTACTGTTCTCATCCTGATTCTGAGCTCATCCTTCACCAGCAGTGTCATCCGAACAAGCTGCATCGTTGCCATCAGAAAAACTACCAAGTAGGGCCCCATTCACAAGGTCGTGCTCGACCATTCTTTGCAAAGAAGTGTTTCGCTCACTCAGCATTCAACAATTGCCGAGCTCAAGGCAGTACACATCCGAACGGAAACAGGACTTTAAATAAATTTCGGATGGCAAATACAGTGACAAGGAACCTGACCAGCGCAGTCCAATATGCAAACAAGCAGGCGCGGCAGGAAGATCTCGGGAAAACGAGCAGTCTCCACCACTCACAAACGGCAACCTGACACTCACTAGCAGCAAAAAGCTGAAAAAGGAGTAGCTGGTGGCAGGAGGCCACGATGAACAAATATTCGAGCTGAGCACCAGTTGGTTGCAAGATCTGCCTGCAGGCTGTGGCAGCGTTGTCTGAATAAATTCCATGAGGCACGAGCGCTAGTCTACCCCGACTGACGCGATGCTCCTCGCGGAAGAACGACAACACCTGGCAAGGCCAGCTTGTCTTTGCATTGAGGTGTTGGTTCGAATTCGACCAGTCATTGGGGCAACCGTTTTTGCAAAACGTGACGGATAGATGGGCCGACAATGGCCAGCCGATCATTCAGTACCGACCGCAGGGTGTGAACAGCATTGAACAGCCAATCAAGTTCGTAACAGAAAACGTCCGAAACCAGCAGATGCCATCTCGGCACGAGACACGTGTTCGGGCTTATTGGTAGTACTAATAGTACTGGTAGTACTAACTAGCAGTAGCAGTAGAAGCAGTAGCAGTGGCATAAGCGGTAGGGGTAGTTAGCAGTAGCAGTGGCAGTAGCAGTAGGAGTACTACCAGTAGCAAGCAGTAGTGAAGTAGTAGTGATAGTAACAGTAGTAGCAGTCATTTTAGTAGTAGTAGTAGTAGTAGAAGAAGAAGAAGAACAACTAGAAGTAGACGAAGTAAAAGCAAACGGAAAAGTACAAATATCAGTACGTAGCAGTAGCAGCAGCAGTAGCAGTAGCGGTAGCAGTAGCAGTAGTAGTAGTTGTTGTTGTTGTTGCAGTAGTTGCAGTAGTAACACCTACTCCTACTCCTACTCCTACTCCTACTCCTACTCCTACTCCTCCTACTACTACTGCTGCTGCTGCTGCTGCTACTACTACTACTACTACTACCACTAGTACTACTCTACCACATTGTTCGATTATTTTGCAGGCATATCTGCCTCGCAGAAGCTGCCCGGAAGGGCCAAGCGAGAGACAGTAGAGATCACCGTCGCGGAAGACCTCTGTCAAGACTTGCGGAAGGGCTTCAGGGTTGCATTGCAGTTTAATATAGTGTTCAGGCGTATTGGGGCGCCCCTACTTTGTTTCAAGTCCGCAGTGTGGGTTTGCTGCCAACTTTTTGCGTGTCCACACAGATTCTGTGATATCTGTTTGAACATTTGGGACCTGTACTTGTCAAAATCAAAAGCAATCTCCAGGACTCGTGCAGTACTGGTTGGTGCTGCTGGGTCGTAGGGCTTAGGGTTTAGGGTTTATGATGTCATGACTAGCATTCTAACTGGTGCAGATGCCAGAGGCGAACAAGCGCGGGATCAAGAACTGCAACTACAAGTACTGCTGGTGCAAGCCGGTACGTGGTAGTGCTAACACTGGTGTTATCACGGGATATCACGGGTAGAGGTCACGGCACGGATTATGCTGCTACTCATGCTCAAGCACTTACCGCGATTTGCACTGCGACAAACAGTACGACTACGACTGTATCACTCCAACGACATTAAGCTGGTGGCACGACTAGTGACTGCTACGAGTACTGCTGCTGCTACTTCTACCGCTACTGCCACTGCTGCTGCTACCGCTGCTGCCACTGCCATTGTCAACTTCAACTGCAAACATCGTGACCGTTGTCGGCATTAACATCGAATAGACTTCTCGATGCCAAATATGTTGCTGTCAAATTCTGGAACAACATGGGGCGAATACTTCCAATCCAGCACCAAACCGTCGAAGATTTGTGGAACTACGAGCTGCAGAGTGGCTTACTTCTGCAATACTGCAAGCCGAAGAATAAAAGCTCAGCTTCGGCGCCACTTGTACCAGAGCTGTAAACTCCATCCGCCCTCGCTGCTCCCCAGTGGTCCGTGCCAACCTACGGTGCACTCGCAGGCAACGTTGCTTGGAGGCTGGCTTGTGGATTCGGAATGTGGGAGTTTCAGTAAACCAGCCAACCTGATCAAGACCCTGACACATTAGGATCCTTGCTAAATAAACCCCCAGATGGTAGCCGTGATGCTAAGAAACCACTGTGCTGGGGTCCTAGCAGAATAGCGAGCCAGGACTGTAGAGACTGATCTGGAAGCTTAGGAATTTAGCAAGCGGGCCTTCACGATCAGGGCTTAGGGAGTCCCTTGGACAATGTAAAGAACCGCATTGACAGCCTAGACGCCCAACCCAAAACCCTAAACTTAAACCCTGAATCCCTTGGCCCTCGAAACCCTAAACCCTATACCCTAAACCCTAAACCCTAAATCCCCAAGCCCTCGAAACCCTATACTGTTAAGGCCCCTCAACGCCCTCGGCCTTCGCCCTCTGGAGGCGCTTTCACGCTTTGGCGCCTCGGCCAAGGTCAGACCCTGAGGGGCGTTCCAGCAAGATACACGTGCATGTGTGTGTGCGCGTGTGTGTGTGTGGGTGTGGGTGTGGGTGTGGGTGTGTGTGTGTGTGCGTGCATGCGTGTATGTGTGTATATATACATATGTATGTATGTATGTATGTATGTATGTATGTATGTATGTATGTATGTATGTGTGTATACATAGACATGGACATAGACATAGACATAGACATGTATGGACAATTATGTACATAACACATTGCTACTTTTGTTCTTACTGTCCGAAATTCATCGCGATGAAGTTTTGACTGTTACCCTTGTCACAATGAACTCATGGCACCGCTGAAGCCGAGAAGTCTGAGCTTTCGGAGATCAGAGCTTTAGATCTTGTAGGATCAGGGTTTAGTTGGGTCTGTAGCTTGAGGGCTGCTGGGGCTTAGGATTTGGAAGTTCAAGGCATTCGGGGGTTCGGGAAATGGAGGTGCATGTGATCCTCCTAGCATGTGAACAGCTGGCGCGTACGCAAAACAGCGATGGCAATGGCAAGACCCATTACAGTGGCCGAAACTAGGGTGATGTGGGACGGTAACTAGTACAGTTGGTAGCGAAAAAACAGTAATAGCAACACTCCCATGAAGTAGCCTCAGCACGAACAGCTTCTGCCCAAGGGCTCACGGCCCTGCTTCGAATCGTCATTACTCAACCTGACCTCAGGGAGCCCCAACACGTATTTTCACATCAGCTGTTGAACGTCAAACCCCTAAATGAGGGATTGGTGTCACCAGTTCATGCTTGTGTTTGTTCGGTCCCCCAACCTTCCCCTTGCTGCTGACAGGTTGCGCTACAGTTGCCTTGTCGGCCACGCTCTGTAGCCAGATTGTCTCAAGCGGCGTGCACCCGTCGAGCCTCGCTCAGTCGTCGTTCGGGTTTCTTTGCTGGGCAGAGAGGAAAGTAGAAATGGCTGCTTCGATCATCAAACATAATTAGTCTGCAAGACTGCAGCTCCATACCCTTCATACGCGTTGCCCCGTTTTGATCTTTCAAGTGACTTGCCGATAAGCTTGGCCCAGCGCCTCCCTGCTGCCACTCGCTCAAGAGCTTCAGGGACGCGGAGCGTGGAGAGAAGGCTAGATTCCTCTGAGCTCCCAAGGCTCAAATGCGACGTGCGTCATTTCAGAAAGCCCCCAAGCCGTCCTTCGGCCGGGTCGGAGCGCTGCTTGGAGCGGCCTCACCTCGCTGTCCAAGCGGCAAGAGCATAAGCAAAACTTCTGGCACCCAATAAAGACAGATGCGGATGAGTCTCAACTGAAGGCAAGTGGCCGGGAGCGACGGACACTGCCGTGCCATTCAGCAGAGGGGACGAAACCTCTTTCTGCGGCGGCCGCTGCCTTCTGTTACATCTGAGCACGCTCCGCAGCCGGCTGAACGGATGGAAGCGCCAGCGCGTCTCCTCGGCCTTTGTGCATGGGAAGAAGTCTCGATTCTAGAATGCTCGAGGAGGTCTCTGTTTAAAGCCTCGCTCCCCGATGCTTTCAAGCGTGCATGAAACGAAGCTCCTCCATATGTCAAGGCTCGGAATGCTTTCCTGCAAAACCTCAAGCACCGCGTCGCAAACCTCGAAAACCGGGAACCTCTGAAACTTGTGAGAATCGTCTACCCCCTCAGTAATCCGAAGATATCCGACAACTCAGCAAAAACTGAAACCCTAAGGTCCGGCAAGCAAGTCCAAACCGCCCAGAACCTCCGTCTCAAACTGCGCTGAACTTCCCTGCAGCTTACAAAGAGGCCTCCCCAACAGCGGCCACCGGCTGCAGTGGCGCTTCCGCCTCACCTTTACGGAGAACAACCATGTGTCAAAAGACCCTGGCGCCTACAAGAAGCCGGCAAGATGTTCTGAACAGTACGAGCATGAGTGACGAACATCATCGTGAAAGAAACATGACACGACTGCAAGCAAGAATAACCGCATTGCACACAGCAACAACAACAACAACAGCAGCAGCAGCAACAACAAGAACACCAACAGTGTCATCAACAGGATGACCGGGTCCATTAGAGCAAGAAACTACAAGAAGTAAAGCCTTGATTGAGACCCTTGCAAACTGGCATGAAAACCTTGTTAACCCGTGTAGAAACCTTGTACATCCAAGCACCCAACAGCTCCAACAACCCGAACCTGAAAACTACAACCCCAAAGCCATGCGACACTAAAACTGTAAAACCCTGAGACCCTGCATCTGAAAGCCTCCTAAGCACTGAAACCAAACAGCAAAAGCACTTACAGAAACCTTATAGTATCCCATCGTGGTAATCCTTCCAGTAACCCTTGTCATGACCCCAGCAGCACAGACCCTTCAGAAGCACTGAAGCCCTACATCTCCCGAAACAGCACCTCTAAACCCAGACTTTTAACCCTATATGTTGCACCCATTACAGGAACGCTTGAAGGAAGCCTTAATAAAACGCTATAGACCCCGACCCCTATAAAGCCATAGTTTCCATGCCTCCTCTCGGCGCTGCACTGCTGGATGATGCAGCCGCAGTGGCAGGCTGATCACTCTCCTAAGCAAAGCCGGAATTGACATAGGATTTAGGGTTGGCAATCGCAACAGCTGCGTAAACTACCAGGCTTACATATGCAACAGCTCAACACAGGGACACCTTCACCCTTCGTGCACTTGCTATAAGAACATCAGGCATCTGGAATAAAGTTGAAGCCCCATTCGAGAAACTAGAACTTCCTGCTTCCATGCTGCAAAAAAACTGCAGAAGTTCCGGCATAGAAAACCGCTCCAAAACATAGTGAGCACAACAGTGATAGAGGCAAGCTTAGTCTGCTGAGGACAGCAACACCAGACGACACTAATGCACCAAGTGAAGTCTGACCTTACAAGGCTTCGAGCAACTCTTTCAAGCATGACTCGTTGATGTTTGCAAGAACCGCATACAAGCAAAACTGCAAGCACCAAAGGTATCGGGATTTCAGGTGGGGAGGCGAAGCTTCGGGCTGCGACTGAGCACCAGGCCAGTGGCTGAATCGCCGGGACCTTCGCGTCGATGTAAGCCCCAAACCCTGAACCGCATCCTGTAACCCCGCAGTGTTGAAGAGACCCCAGTGCTATTGCGACTTCTGCAAATACGATTCTGAGTAGCTAAGGAGTACAAGATGTCGCAGAGTTCGATGGTGTTCGTCGTCGTCGTCGAAGCAGTAGAAGT